GTGTAGCAAATGTAAGAAGAAAGTTCCGCTCAGACAGTTTTTTTTCTAGAAATACCACGTTGTGGAACTGACTCCCAGGTGGTTGGTTTCCTGAATAATTTAATCTTGGTTTTCATCTTCCCTCCTTTCCGTTTCATTTCTCACCACTTTATCCTCCATTCATATCATCACAGCTGATGAAACAGCATTTTGTTGATTCAAACACTTTATCCCCAAGTGGCTCTCGAGCCACTCAACTTAATGATTCTTAGTAATTCCACCACATAAATATTTGATCAAATATGAAAAAGCAAACATGTCACGCTTACGACCATATTACGTTGAAACATTGGTTCCTGTACGACCACAGCAGGTTTTAACGCAGCATATATGCTCTCTGTATATGTCCGCTAAATAAAGGACAACATATTCCTTCTTGTAAAATATTTGTACAGAGGAATACAGAAATAAGTTTACAAAAATTTCTTATTTAGTTTTACATTCAAAATTATTATAAATAAAAATTCGTTTTACCGAACTCCTTTATAATAACCATGTGAATTTTATCAATTTTGTAATAAAAAAATAGAGTATGCATTCTTGGCTCATTATCGAACAAAATGAATGCCATTCCCGATATGAGATAGCAGTGATAAAAAAAAAATAAAAAATTATTATCAATTATGCTAAATTAATCTCTTTTTTATGACAATATTCCATAAAGAATTATTCAATACATTTATCCAAACACTGAGTAATAATGTCTTTCGGGAGTACATCATCGATGACTATATACAATTATTTTTACGGACAATTAATCAGGTTGACATACATAGTAAATGCAAATGAAAATACTACAAAAAGCTACTGCAACCCGATACACTCTATTTACATAACAGACAAAAAAGTCATAAACAATGAAGCCTTAAACTGCGTAGCTAGAAGAAGATAATTCATAGATAACTAACTCCATTAGATACTAAAAATCGTCCAATATCCACTATATAATATAAAAAGTTCCAAACTCTGAACTAACAACACTTCTTCGTAGGAACTACGTAGACACCACCATGATAAAAATAAACTACGTAGACACCACCATGATAAAAATAAACTAATGTTGTATACCAGGTTTGGTGTTCCTCGCTAGACTTTACCACTGTGGAAAACAAAAAATTTAAAAAAAACATTTCAAATATATTGATCATACTTCAAAATTAATCTCGTGCATAATAATCTATCTGTATTAAAATATCATACATAAAAAATTGATATAAATCCACAACAAGGCACGGCATTACATGAAAACTTTTGTCGCCTACGTCTGATGCAAGAATGAAGACCGGTGATTCTCAAAGATGTAAATCATTGCGTTAAATCACATCCAAATACAACGCTGATACCGAACTCTTCAACAACGAAAGTCTTGTACACAGTATACGGTATTCGTTGAAATTTTCCTTGTCACTGGCCAAGAAGGATATCTTTATTAAGCATCAATTGAATTAAGGATATCTTTATAAGTCATCATTTAAATCGATAGATATACCATTGAGTTCAACGTAAATAGACAGGCCGAAACGACTTTTTGTTTCTTTATTTCTTCTGGAACAAATCCACTCTAGGCATCGTTATTTTGATCATGTTTTATTAAATGTTTTTTTGTTTTTATTAAAATATAAGACTTTGTGTTAGAATCTTGTAGGAGGTGTTTTCATTAAAAGTTAATGGAGGGCTGATGTTCGAATAAGGATGTTCTCGATATAATTTTTCACCATAAAGAATAATCATCCCAATCTATTTGAAACTCAAAGACATACCAAAGAATATCATTCGATCGTGGAAATCTGGGGCTGTGTCACCTGATCAAACGTTTTATGGTTTTAGTGTTTTCACAGTTTTCTATGAAGCACGATGGAATAACAGCGGCTCAGAATGAGAAAGCAAAGTGTCGAGTTCATTACATTCAATTACGTACTAATAACCTTAGGAAAGGTATAAATCCGTCTCTTCTCATCTGCATCTTTTGGTGAATAGCAGGACATACTGGGTCCTATAGTATTGGTTGGCGACTAGTCTAAGTGACTAGAACGTAAATTATGAATTGAAACCAGCCTGCAAAGCGCTGGGCTCCGTCTGGCTAGTTTGCCCAGGAAAGACCATTGCTACTAGGCCTGCGGTACATGTGGTGCACCTGAGACCGTAATGTGCTCCAGACCTTGTTACTGTGGAAGAGACGGCCGAGTTCACGTGCGAAGGAGACTTTATACAGCTGTTATGAAGTCAGTGGCATATTTTTAATAATGCGGGAATGTGTTCTGTTGAGTTCAGACATTCCACAAGCGAACGGGAATCTCTCATGACAAGTGTGACATAGACAGAATTTATCAAAGACCGACTGTACACGTTTATACACGCCAGGCTTCCTGGTAGTAAGGTTATATCCCAGAATGGTAAGGCACTTTTCTATCTGACACAAGTGACACGATAATATTTACAGAAACACTTCACTGTCTCCCACTAACTGTATTTGCTAGATTTAATTCCTATTGATCATAGGTAGAATATGTTGTGGTTCCACATCATTTCTGATGGGCACACCCTCCAAGCACAACACACTTCAATCCTACCGCTTCGTAGATTTTATGACATATAGTCACTATTATTGATTAATTGGCTTGTTTGATTAACGGCATTTCAACTCCTTATGTATCACTTAATGTCGAAATCTAATTTTCTTGCGAACGTTGAAGTAATAAAAAAATATGATATATGTTATTCTGCTTTCACAATCGAATACATGGCAAATGATTCCCAGCATTTGTGGATATAGATGTTTGTGTGGTTATGATTACTAGGGGCAGTGATATATGTGTTTTATATTGTAGATTTTGTTGAAGTTGTATTTTGGAATACAGTTTAATTTCTTTGAGAAATTGTGGGAAATTATATAGATTAATATCATGAAAGACTTCTTCTAAGTTTGGTTGTTTGGGTGGTTGAATTTGTTAGGTGGCATATCAATCTCTATGGGTTATTTAATACCGAAATCTAAATATTTTGAACACAATTTTATGACTTTAGCTAAATATATTTTCCACACAACTATATGCCTTCAACTATAGACAAAATGTATTGTTGGTAATTGCAGTATAAAATGTATTGCTGGTTATTTGCTTTAAAAAATAATTGGTGGCCATTTTGTTATAAATATCTATTGACGGTACTTCTTTTATATGAACATGTATTGATGGTATTTTATATTTTCATAGAATTATGTTTTTGTTTTAGGGTTCACTATTTGCATGTAGCTGGGACCCTGACAGGTGCTGCCACCCTGAGTTAGGGTAGACCTGGGAACAACAGAAATTAAGAGGTTGTTCCACGCTGTCGGATTTTGCTGTCGGATGTATCCGCAGTTATTTGCATTTTATGTGCAATTATACGTTATTAGATAGCTGTCACTTAATCTTCTACTATGTCCGCCATTCGTTTCCTTGTAGAACTTAGCAGTTTTAAACTTTTGCAAAGGCTCTCTCTTTCACCATCCATTGACACTACATATTCAGGTATTTGGCTCACTGCTTCCCTAATCTCTCTTGCTTTCAATTTGACTTGTGAGAGATATGTTTGTCAAACCAAAACTTCCTAATTATGAGTCCAAGGGATTTCAGTTTTCTATTCCTAATTCTTAGGATAAGTGTTCTTGTTGCCATTTTCTTTAAGACTTCCTCTTTGTTTACTCGCTAAACTGAATTCTCATTATCCTTCTGTAGAACAACTGTTTGGTTGCCTGTTTTCTCTTCATCCGTGTATGGTTATAGTGTAGCGTTCACTACGATATAAGCGCATGGATATCATACAGTAATCCAGCACACATTTTATGGTTTATAACTAAAGTTATCTTTTTCTTCTAATCACTGTCAGTAAATTATCTATCTATCTATCTATCTATCTATCTATCTATCTATCTATCTATCTATCTATCTATCCTCACTCTGTTCATATCTATCTATCTATCTATCTATCTATCTATCTATCTATCTATCTATCTATCTCTTTCAGTTTGTTCATATCTATCTATCTATCTATCTATCTATCTATCTAAATGCTTATTCAATATTCCTCCCAGAATAAGAAAGAAAATTGACAGTCTATATTATATCGGAGGTAGAATCTTTTCACATTGGAGTATGGTGTCTGACGCCCTTTCTATACTGGGGATTAGATGTCACGTCGAAAGTGATAGAAGGTTATCGCTTCCGCGCCATTTTGTTTACTAGAGGCAGATCTAAAGTTAGGGATATGATTTCATTCTAGTAAGGACTTGGGTTGCGGTTATGCATAGCGTCTCACTATATTTCTTTGATAACTCAATTTCTGGAAAATTGACGAATGAATAAATTCATCACTTGATCAGAATCTTCGTTCCTTGACGCAAATATCGCAAGGTTATTCGTCTGAATAAATTCGTTTGTAAATAATATCATGCTGATGTCTTTCCATCCACCTTTCTCTTCAATTCCATCTGTTTTTCATTTAGGAATTTGTGAAAATCTCGAACATATCTTAATATTTTCATTCTATTCTACGTTTCAGTTGCTTTTTCATTGGGGTTTTATTTTACATTGCTGTCTTAATAATTAAACTTTCTTTTTCGTTTCAAATCAAGTTCGATGTACATTGATATCTTTAACTGTTCTGTGAATATGCATTCTTCTGAGTATCCGTGGAAGAATAATGTAGCAGTTTACTGTAAATCTCGATTCTGCTTTTAGATCGAAACTTGTTGTTCAACCTTCGTCGAATTATGTGGAAAAGGAATGCAAATTGTTAATAAAGAAATTATTAGACGGCAAGTTGAAAATCGTTTACTTTGTTTCTTCTTTCTATTGGAATTTGTTTAAAAAATAGTTACAGTTGTCTACTAAGATATTTTGTAAAAAAAAAAACCAAAAAAACCTTGAAGAATAAATTATGTGTCAAGCGATGGTGTCAAAGCGAAATATAGAAAAAGAAGATTAAAGAAAAGGAGAAGGGAAAAGAAACGAATAAAAAAAGAAAAAGAAAAACGGAAGGAAAAAATGAGGGAAATGAACTTCATGAACTTCATAAAGAAAAAGGAAATGAAACAAACATGAGGAAATGTGTGAAAGGAGAGAAATTAAAAAAAAATTAAAGAAGAAGAAGAAAGGATGAGTTATTAAATGCTATAAAAGAAGAAAAAGAAGAGGAGAAAAGGTGGACAATAAATAAAAGCGAGAGGGAAAAGAGAATAGAAAGAAAGAAAAGGAAAAGGAAAAAAAAGAAGAAATAGATGAAAAAGAAGAAATTAAAGACGAAGAAAGGATGAGTTATTAAATGCTGTAAAAGAAGAAAAAGAAGAGGAGAAAAGGTGGACAATAAATAAAAGCGAGAGGGAAAAGGAAATAGAAAGAAAGAAAAGGAAAAGGAAAAAAAAGAAGAAATAGAAGAAAAAGAAGAAATTAAAGACGAAGAAGAAAGGATGAGTTATTAAATGCTGTAAAAGAAGAAAAAGAAGAAGAGTAAAAAACGGACAATAAATGAAAGCGAGAAGGAGAAAGAGCGATTGAAAGAGGTGATAATAAAGTGAAAGGGGAAAAGAAAAGAACGTTAAAAGAAGAAAAGAAGAGGAGGAAAAGATGGACAATAAATAAAAGCGAGAGAAAGAGGTGAAAAGAAAGTAAAAGGAGAAATGAAGAGAAAGTTAGAAGAAAAAGAAGAGGATGAAAAAATAGACAACAAATAAAAGCGAGAAGGAAAGAGACTGAAACAAACACGTGATGAGAAAGTCGAAAGAGAAACGAAAGTTAAAAGAGAAAAAGAACAAACAGAAATGTAAAAAATAAATAAATAAGGGAGGAAATAAATAAAGAAAGACAGAAGGAAGAAGAAGAAGAAGAAAAAAAGAAAATTGCATTAAAGAATATATATTGAAAAATAGAAAGCAAAATAATGGTAAAAAGGTACCAAAATTTCGCTAATGACAATTCTTTTCCAATTATCGGTAATTTTCCACAAGAAATCCTAATTCATTCAAATGTGAATTTTAAATATCAGTATGCCCTTCTTTCAGAAAAGAGAAACAAAACAAAGAAAAGCCTCTTTGTAAATTTTTAGATAAATTCTGAAAGTTTAAATCTAACTGTGTCTTCATTTAACATTAATGTCACAAATCATTGTCGGTCATGCTTTATGGAAACGTGAATATTAATGTCTTTTAAAAATCTGGAATACGTGTATCTAACTTATTTTTTTATGTTCAAAAACATAATTCCAATTAAATCTTACGTTGCATTGCTTTCAGAATTAAAATAATAAAAAAATTCCTTATTATAAAATTACTGTATTGATTTTCTTTTAATGCAAATTTTTACTCATTGTAAGATTTGTTTTACCTTTCTAGTATCGCCGTTGTTGAACATAAATAGATGAAACCACTATAGCTCCTTATTTCATTTGCTATATCCACTAATCCTATCTACCAGACAAAAATGAAAAAAGAAACAACGTAACGATGAAAAAATCTGAAAGAGAAATATATTTTGGAGATGAGAATGTAAAAATCAATAAAGTCAAAGCGTGACAGCTAACTTCAGTCTCCAGAAATTTAGTGACATGAAAATTGATGGATACAATATGAAAAGTACTGAGAAGCAAAAGTAAAAATTTATTCATACCACGGAAATTTTCTTCTGTGATATACGTAGATGCGACCCAATTGATGGGAAAGAAACTGCAAAACCTCCTAGACAAACTAGTAAAGGGAAGAAAAAAGAAAGAATTCATTAACATTTGTAAGAAGACACATATATATGGTTGTTAGCAGGAGATTTAACACAAGAAGCCAGCTACGAAACAGATGTCAAAATCAAGCAAATACGTATATTTATCTTGTGGAGTAATTGGTCATAGTTAAAAGTAATTGGCAAAAATTCTCGACAAACAGAATTCACAAAGTTTCTCATAAACAATAAGAAAAGGAAGGAAAAGAACAGGACAAATTGATATTAACGAATATATATATATATATATATATATATATATATCTGTGTGCGTACATTAGGAAATGGAAAAGTCTGACAATTATTTAAGACATTTTTTTATGTTTATACGTTCTTTTATAGATATATATATATATATATATATATATATCTTTTATACGTACATTAGAAATGGAAAAAACTGTCTAGACAATTATTTAAGATTTGTTTTATTTTAATCTTTTTATATTTATCTTGTGGACATATTTAATAAAAAAATGCTCTGTTTATAATAAAAAGTATTATGACATTTACCGGCCTGAATGTCTGAAAATTTCATAGAAAATATTTGTCCTCCGGCAGGGAATCGAACCTGTATCCTATACGGAACCGTCATATAGTCTGACGTGCCTTAACCGTTTCGGCCACAGAGGTGCGTTTGGTTAGCAATGTTGTTTTTACTGTTTTTAAACACAATTCTGCATGTTTTTCTCTGATTCATTCATATCTGCTCAATGCGTATCCTAATGTAAACAAATGACGTCATACATTATAATGTCTTAAAAAATTGTCGAACGCTCCTCTGTGGGCAAAACGGTTAAGGCACGTCAGGCTATATGACGGTTCCGTATAGGATACAGGTTCGATTACTGTCAGAGGACATATAATTTCTATGAAAATTTCTCGGACATTCAAACTGGTAAATGTTATTAATACTGTTTATTATAAACAGAGCATTTACTTAAATATCTGTATCCATAAAAAGAACGTATAAACATAAAAAATGTCTTATATATATATATAAGACAGAAGTAGGCAAACCAACTGTAATAAGACAAAAGATTCACAAAGTAAGAATGCTGTTAACAGACAAAAGGGATACAGTCAAGCAATTGTAATGTTCGGATTTCAAGACAAGGGAGAACAAAAATATTGGGGATGAGACCATTTTTATTGGTGTCGAAGAAACCCATGCATCTTTAAGATTTGCCTATAAATCTAGGAATGGAGGGTGATTTTAGCAGCCATTCTATTTGATTTAAACGAATATATCTATTTGGGAAATGTTTTAATTGACGACGGAAAACGAAGTACAGAAATCTGAAGACAAACTAGAAAAGTAAAAAAAAATATTTTCCAAAAGTCAAACAACGTATTAAGAAACATAAATAGAGTATTAGAAATAAATAATAGATGCTAAGTTTAATTTAATATAAATCCTCCTATATGACAGACAATTTCCTCATAAATGTAGAGGCTGAAAATGGGGTACTGTTACCCTATTTTGGCAGAAGCTGCCCAGACCTCACTTTCCAGTATTGATAGAGTTCCAAAAGGTATGCGATTCCTTGTTGGGGAAGAATTATTTTCCACAATCGAACTTCACTCTCACATATGGAATGTGGCGAGTTTCTCATATGGAAAAGGCTCGGACAAACTGCAACTCAATGTTCCACCAGATACGACCTTCAAAGCTGGGACCATCCATGCCACTTAAATAGTAACAACCCCACATTCCATCCGTAATTCATCGGTGAGAACCGTTTCTGGGTATGACGATAAACTACATCCGCGTCCTGGGTAAGACGATAAACTACGTCCAACACCAAGACCTCTGATCAGGAGGTTTTGAGGAGCGTGGAACCACCTCTTAATTGCTGATGTTCCCAGGTCCACCCTAACCCGGGGTGGTAGCACCTGTTAGGGTCCCAGCTATGGGCAAATAGTTAATCCACAAATTCTGGTCAAAACACTATGAAAATGTCAAAATAGGTTTTAATACTAGAAATACCTTGTAAAAAAAAGAAGATATTACCATCAATACCTTTTTGAAAAACAAATATTACAAGCAATACATTTTTTGAAAAAAAAAATTAACAGTGAAAGAAAATTTTTACCAGAAATAGATTCTGGAAGGAAAACATATTACCAACAATGAAAATTTCGTCAGCATTAAATAACTGATTGAGGTTGATATGCCGTAAAACAAAGCAAACCAAACCATCGGTGAGAAGTAAGTTCCATTCAAGCAGCTATTTTTCTAGAACCAATACCCTATAGAATGGACTCCCAAGAGGATGTTTCCCCAATTACTATAACCTTAATCTGTTGAAGTCGAGAGTAAACCGTTATCTTCCCCTCCTATCCGTATAAACTATCCCCTAACATAACCCTCTACCTCGAGCGACTCCGGGGTTGTACAGGGTAAAAATGTTTTGAGTTAAAAGAGATCTGACTTTACAAAACGATGCTGAGAATAACATGGACGGATCATGTGAACAATATGGAATGTTTAAGGAAAAGGGAAACAAAATGGAGTTTTATATTTAATATGAGAAAGAGACTGTGGACATTTATAGGACAAATTGAAGGCATACTCAAGACATATTGACGGCAGGAGAGACAGAAGGAAAGTATATGGTAACCTGCCCAACGAGCTTGCGAAAATGAAAATCAGGAAAGGGAATGAGATATTAAAGAAAAGAAACAATACTAAAAGCTTCAAAGTATAAGAAATTGTGAACAGTACGGTTCGGCCACGTTCTGAAATGACTCACCACATAAAGGAGCATAACTTGAACATAATGAACAATTGTTTTATCTTTGTACAATTTGCGTCTATCATCAATTAAGAATTCAAAATTGTAAATTTACGAACATCGTTTAGGCCTCCTTTAAAAATAATGAAACAAGTAGGTGAAATCTGTTTTCTGAGATTCAGTAACGAATAGGCAAGATTTTGAGGTTTGCCTGGGGTTGGTCATTGCTTATCGTTGCTTTCATCTCTCAATAAACATCTTCGGGGTTTGTTTCTTCTGTGCCATCATGACTCTCAGATCTTTGTGAGTTATCAACCATGAAGGTATCCTCTTTTCTTTCGGCTACCAACAAGGAGAAGCAAAGCAGCAAATGGATGATACTTTTTTCAACACGGGAACTCCATTGGGTCTTCTCTATCATAGCTATAACCGGATCATAAGGCACATGCGAGGAAATCTATCAGTGAGATTCCGTAAAACATATCACAAAAATGTATCTATTTTCTGGTGATTCTTTCTTTTTCGGGATTTAGCTAAGAAACAAATTGGAAAGAGACTGATTCAAATTTGTCGAGTGTAAGCCTGAATTAATAAATTAAGCAAAAAATTTACAACTGGAGTGGAATTATGAATGTTTCGGTGATTTCAAGTTTAGACTGCTTGTATTTTCTACTCTTAGTTTTAGTAAAAGTGCGTTGTGATTTTACAAGAACAAATTAATCAAATTTCACCAAACTGGAAAATTTCTTGTGACGCGTTTCCAGTTTGTCATAAAATATTACGTAAATTTTAATACCATTTTTTATGCTTGGAAGTGTGATCTGAGGAACCAAGAAAAAACCCTTTCCTGTGGAAGTAAAAATATAATCAAAGGAGCTTTTTTAATTTTAATTAAATATATATATATATATATATATATATATATATAGTACAGATAATAGATCAGTTGATATGTAATCCAGGTGGATCCTAATAATATCAAATATTAAAACTAATCCACAAAGAACGATCAATGTATTTGGTATAAAAGAGGATATAAATTTTTTAAAAATCCATAATTACCTTATTTGGGTATAGATCTATTTCAACCAACATTAACTACGTTGGGCTGATTTAACTCTGAGATTTAGAATTTATCTTAGAGTTTAAGTTAAATTCTAGATCTCTGATTCCGATACGAATACAGTCCATTCACCAAGGCTGAATAAGACCAATCGATTTAGCGTTAGTTGAAATAAATATACCCAAATGAAGTAATTTTAGATTTTTTCTGTGTAATATATATATATATATATATATATATATATATATATATATATATGTGTGTGTGTGTGTGTGTGTGTGTGTGTGTGAAAATATATAGAAAATAGGAAAGAACTGGTTAGGTAGATCCAAAG